AGAAAGAGTGTAGATGACCCTGGAAGACCTCCCGGCATAGTTCTCAGTGCAGCCACTTCTTTTTGGCTTCCAGTTCCACCCAAACGAGTCTTTGACTTTCTCCGTGACGAAAACTCTAGGAATGAGGTAACTTATAATAACGTTTTAGGCTGCATTATTGTGTGTTCATAGGCCAATTATTAATTAATAGACAACCTTCATGTGGTAATCTTGCTTACTAGGTGAATTTATTCGCATGAATTTCTCCCTTATGTTTTGACTTGCCTAGTTTTTACACCAATTAGTCAATTCCTTTCTATCAAATGCTTTGGATTACGTATCTTTTTCAAATTACCAAAGACAGCATGATGGTTACGCCTCCTTTTTAATAAAGGTTGGGGATGTGTTAGATGAAAAAATGTTAGGTAGAATAACGATAGATAGCTAATTTTTCACACAAGCTAATTTGCATTTAGCCGATGTTTGTTGTCTAATTGGTCGCATTTCATTTTCTGTGCACCTATGTTTTCTTATTCTATTGATGTAAAGTGATGTTTCTCGACAAAATCTGTACCGGGAATCGTTATGTTAGATGGGAAACATCATTTCCATTTTTTACACGTCCTTTCACAAACTAAATTTGGAAAACATCAACTTCTCTAGGAAAAAGATTATCATTTTTAAGCTGTACACATTTAAATCAACGTGATCTTAAGAAAACTTGCTTTTATTAAGAAAAATAGAATATAGTGTTATTTACCGAAAAATTGTCATGCATATAGTAAAGATATTGATTTTTTTAATAATTACTTTAGAAGATATATTTAGACTAAATTTTTTTAATAGTGCATGAAAGTTAATTTCATTCTTAAATTAAAATATAAAACCATGTGTCTGGGTTAGTCCTAATTTCTTGATCTTCATATCTTTTATTTTTTGTTTGTCATTTTAACATTGTTAACCCCTTTAAACAACACAGTGGGACATTCTTTCCAATGGTGGAGTTGTTCAAGAAATGGCACACATAGCAAATGGAAGAGATACTGGAAACTGTGTCTCTCTACTACGAGTAAATGTATGTTATTAATATCTCACATTTATATTTCCTATTTATCTATTTCCATATAAACCGATTGAAGTGTGACTAAACAAAATTATATTAAAACCATGTAGAGTGCGAATTCAAGCCAGAGCAACATGTTGATATTGCAAGAGAGTTGCACCGATACAACCGGTTCTTTTGTCATTTATGCACCGGTGGATATTGTTGCCATGAATGTGGTTCTAAATGGAGGAGATCCAGATTATGTTGCTCTTCTTCCTTCAGGGTTTGCTATTCTGCCAGATGGGACAACAACGCATGGTAGTGGTATTGGTGAATCTGGACCTGGTGGATCTCTTCTTACTGTTGCCTTTCAAATATTGGTTGATTCGGTTCCTACTGCTAAGCTTTCTCTTGGATCTGTTGCTACTGTCAACAATCTCATTGCATGCACTGTTGAGAGAATCAAGGCTTCCTTGTCCGGTGAAGGTGCTTAAGCTTCAAGACTTTGGATTCAGTGTGGTATGCTCACGAACCTATCCAATGTTAACACATGCACGTGTGCACTCACTTCAAGTTTTTATTAAAAACTGATACAATACACCCTTATTGACTTTAATGTAGTTTTTAATTAAAAAAATTTGTTACATATAATTTCTTAACCAGTAAAACTTTTTTTTTATTTATTAAATCATGTGTGCATGATTGGGGGAGGTTTATCTAAAGGAAATAATTATTACTTAAAAATTTGAAAGATTTTTCAGAAAATTATAAAATTTAAATTATTATTTAGTCTGATTTTGTGATGAATGAAGCTGTGTAATTCATATAATTGACTACCTAGGGAAAAAAGTTTAATTTGTTATTTATGATATGTTTATCTAAAGGAAAAAGATTTGTAGACATCTCTACTCTAGATAACACCTAGTAAAGAAAGATAGAGAAATGTGGGTATCATAAATGATAGATTTTAATAATAATAATGTTTAAAATGGAAAAGTGTATACTAATCATTTTTACTTTCATGAAGAAAAAAAAAATTAAACATGGGCATGCTTGTTTTGTCATGTATATATGAAACTCATGGACATGCACCTAGACTTGTTTCTGGTAGTTATGCTAATGTTCTTAATTTTTTGTTGGTAATTACTCTTTTGCAGTTTGAAAGAAGGGATGAAAGGTTGTGGAGATTAAATGAAAAGGTGGTGAGGATCTTCGGGTTACATTACAAAGATTAGGGAGAAGTCAAGAGCGCACCTTGCATGATCCCTTCTCAGCACTTACCCCAAAAGAGTTGTGAGAGGATTAAGGTTCGGGAATTGACTTCCCTAGATACAATAGTAAACGTTGAGAGCGATTAATTATTATGACCTTGCTACCCTTTACCATTTCCGAGACTACATAACTAGCTAGCTAGGATTAACCTTTTCAGTAACTAGGGTTTAACTTTTGATGTAAACTCTTGTCTTCTTTTTCAATTCTTATTTTGTGTGATTTAATTAGAAGTAGTAGTAGTAGCATGCTCCGGCACTAGTTGGTGGGAAGTTTGCATCAATACACCACCACCACCTTTTTTAAAGGTTAATTTGAAATTGATGTGTTCCTTTATGCGATTAGTTGACACTCGGTAACATGATTAACTGATCAAGACTTGTAATTTTGCATTCGTTGCTGAAATGTTTACCAACGTTAGTGGCATATTGTAAAATTAACAAAGGTAGAAAGTAAAGTTTCTTAAATTAATGTCGAATTGTGAAAAGGTTATTAATTAATTCCCGCGTCAAACTGACATTTTTTTTAATTTTAATATCTAATATGAGCTGTTAAAAGACAAATTGTGTCCATGTAAATATGACAGATTTTTTTAGATATTGAATTTTAAAATTATTGTAATTTTTATTCCTACAAATATTAGAATTTTTTTTACCTAATGTAATAAATGTCATTGTAGGTATTACGTGTCAATGGTGGTCAATTTTTATTTTTTTATACGACTCTTTATTTAATGTGCCTGAATTTTGTTTATATAAACTTTTTAAAAATATTCATATTGGAGAAAATAATAAAGTAAAGTTGAATATAGTTAAAATAAACTTCGACATTTTAACTTCTACAGAAATTCTTTCATCAAATTTCTCCAAAATTTTAGGTGCATAAATTTCTTAAATAGTAATAATTGTGGTATTTTATTATTAAATATTGTATGTAATAAATTTAAATAAAATTATAAGTATATTATATTTATTAAGCTTAATTTGATAAATTAATATACATATATTTAATGAAATAAGACTTTGTATATGGATTCAAATATATTATTTTTATTTATAAATAAAAATTAATAAAATTTAATAACCAACTAAACATATTTATACACAGTATTTTTTTTGTTATTATTTTTTTTAAAGAGATTATGAAACATACTCGACTTGAACATAGTGGAATGAGTTATATCTCATATTAAACCAAAAAATATTTATATATATATATATATATATTAGTTCATTTCTTAATTTCTATTCATCATTCTTATTTAATATATATAAGTCACTATAAATTTATTTATATTTAACTATATTATATAGCATGGGAAGGGGGTGATTCAACAATAAAGCCTATAGCTAAATCTTTTCAAATATGTGCTGGTATTGGCAAGGGTTGAAACAATTCAATTGGTAAAGAAGTTGTGGTTTTGGCTTGTTGACAAAGTAAATAGTTTTGGACAAAAGTTTTAATATCATGTTGTATACTTTGCTAATAAAATTGAGAAGAAACTCTAGCCATAGCCCAGGCAATCCCTACATGTTCCCCCAATAGGAGAATTATGAAATTCATTCAAAACTTGTTGGATAACAGAATGGTTAGAAGGAAGAATCAACCTTTGCTTTCAATACAGTAACTGATCTTAAGCATAATAATGTAGTTGAGGAAGAGTGCCTTGAATACATAAGTGAAGTATTTCAGATAAGATGGGATCAACAACAATCATAGCTCACACTTGAGGAATGATATCCCACTAAGGTTGAGAAATAGCCAGAAAAAAGGATCGAGATAAGGCATCTGCTGCAAGATTGTGACAACCAAGCTTATGTTTGATGGTGAATCATATCCAAGGAATCTATGAAGCCATGCTTGTTGCTCAGGGGTTTGTATGGATTTATTAGTGAGGCTGTGCAAGCTCTACTGATCTGTTCTAATAATAAATTTATGTCCCAATAAGTAATGACAAAATTTAACTATAGCTTCTGTAATGGCATAAAACTCCCTCACATAGGTTGATTATTTTTGCATTCTTGGAGATGACTTTTTTGAAAAAAAATGCAATGGATGGTGGTCCTAACCAAGAATAGCATCGATACCAATACTAGAAGCGTCAATTTTTAGGATGAAAGGCTTATTAAAGTTTGGAAGGGCCAATACAATTGCCTCAATAATATCGCGATTTAGATTTTGAAAAGCTTTGTTAGCAGCAGAGTCCCAATGGAAAATGTCTTTCTTTAAGAGATTAGTTAATGAGGTAGTGACAACCACATACCCTTTGATAAATCTCTGATAATACCTCGTGAGTCTTAGGAAACCTCTAAGTTGTTTAAGGGAAGTTGGTAATTTCCAATCTAAAACAACTTTGATTTTATGTTGATCCATGGTTACTCTATTCTCCAAAATTGTATGACCAAGATAATCAACTTCCTCCAAGCCATATTAGCATTTGGATAGCTTGGCAAAAAGGTGGTGATGTTGAAGTATTTTCAAAACAGCTTCTAAATGTTGCAAATGGGATGACCAAGATGGGTTATAAACCAGTATGTCATCAAAGAATACCAACATCGATTTTTGAAGTAGCCCTTGAAACACATAATTCATTAAGTTTTGAAAAGTGGTAGGTGCGTTGGTGAGGCCAAATGGCATGTCAAGTCATTCATAGTGGCCTTGTTAGGTCCGAAAAGCTATTTTAAATCTGTCCTCTGAAGATACAAGTATTTAATGGTATCCCAATTGAACATCCAACTTAGAAAAATATTTAGCTCCAAAGAGTTCATCAAGTAACTTATCAATAGTTGGAATAGAAAAGGAATTTTTACTGTAATGGTGTTTAAGGCTCTATAATCAGTTCAAAAATGTCATGTCTCATCCTTTTTTTTACCAAAAGAACTAGGGAGGAAAAAGGACTAGAGCTTGGAACTATTATTTCCTCATGTAACATCTCATCCACCATGTTCTCAATCTATTCCTTATGGATATGAGGGTATCTATAGGAACAGACCCTAATAGGTTGGCTACCCAGAATTAAGGGAATAACATGGTTGTGAGACTGGTCCGAGGGTAAACCAATGTGTTTGTCAAACACCTTTCTGTAGGAGTACAACAAAAAGGGTCAAATCTGAATGAATTTCAATAGGGAAATCAAGCCACTGATCATGAGGGACATCTTGTGACTAAAATTATAGGGTATAAATTTATGCAATGGCATGAGTGTGGCACATCCATCTGATATGGTGAAACTGAGCTGAACTTGGTAATTTAGATTGATCCCCATGTAATATAAAGAACTCTCCCTCCAAATAAAACTTCAAAGTTAAAGCATTATAGTCCGAGACATGAGGTCCCAATGTAGCAAGCCAAGTAGCACTTAAGACCACATCCTCACCAGATACAGGAAGCAAATAAATTAGCAATCTAAGAGTATGCCCCTAAATTGTGACCTTGACTTTTGTGACCAATCCTTCAACCATGAGAGAATTTCCATTACCAATCAGTACTTTAAAATTGGTAACGGGCTCAATAGGTAACTTCAAAAAATGAGCCAAGTGAGGTTGTAATAAATTGTTTGAGCTCCCACTATCAAGCAAGATTTGAATAGTGACACTGTTTATAGAACCTTGCAATCTCATAGTTTCCGACCCAAAGGAAACATTTAGGGCATTGAAAGAAATATGATGTTCAGGGTGAACAACAGCATAAGGGACTATTAAGTCAAGAGATTCTGATTCTGGAGGTGGAACATCAATTTCTTCTACATGAAGTAAAAGGTATTGTTTGTTGGGATAACGATGTGTAGGTGAAAATTTTTCATCACATGTGTAACAAAGGCCCTTCTCATGCCAGAGCTGCATTTCAACCGGGGAAATGCATTTGATATTCAATGGTTTAGGTGGTTGGGTAAAGGGTTTTGGGGAAGGGGTAGGCAGAATGACAGGTAAAGAGTGACTTTTTTTTTTTGTGTTTGGGTATGTAGAGGTATTTGGGTTAAAGTTTCTAGAAGAATTGGTGGTAGAATATGGTTTGGTGGAGGTGGAATATTTTTCCTCAGAGCTTTGCAAGGGACACAACCTTAAGGAGGGAATTAGGACTCTAGGCAATCACATCACGTCTGATATCAAGTTTTAACCCACTGATGAAGCAATCATATAATGCATATACAATGATCCCTTTAACTTTGTTATCCACAACAATAAATTCAGTATAATAATCATTCATCGCACCTAAGGTAGAACGAGAAGATTCAAATAGAGAAGGACCAAACTCCAATTCTAATGCTCGAGTAAATGCAACCCATGAATGGAATGGATTATTCGGACTCATAATCTAAAACCAAGGAACCACGTCCTTGTCCATGTGCACCACAAAAATCATCAAACGTTGTAAATTTGAAGTGGAATAATACGTAAAAAGGAATTGTTTAGCCTTGAATATCCATTGCAACACATTAGACCCATCAAAGCATGCAAAACCTAGCTTGATATTGCGCACCTGAAATGGTTGGGAGCTCCTTATCATCGCATTTGAGTTTGAACCACCAATGGATATGTACTAGTCAGATTCTCGAGAGTTGATTCAAACTTAGCAAGTTTGTCTGTATAAGCTTGATCCTATTTTTCATGAGTTCCAAAAGCTTCTTGACGTTAGTATCCAACTCCTTCAGGCAAGTATTTTCAACCATGGTAGAGATGAAAACACCAAACGTAAGGGAGTAGCAAATGAACAAGAAATATTGTATTGTATTATGTATCAAAATGAGTTTCTTACAAGGAGAAGGCTAATATTGAGGTAGTGATAGCGGTTACAGAATTATGATATAAGAGAAATAGAGAAACAATGAATAAGAACAGAGGCAAAGAGAATCCTAGAGAGAGCCAGAGGAAGTAGACGAATCACAATCTTTTTCTTTCCTTTTTTATTTTCCATATTTTTCTTTTATATCTATTTCATTTTTCAAATGTAATCATTGAGCGCGGAGTTAGTTATTCTTTTCCTCTCACTTTTGCGATTCACATAGATTGGATCACTCTCATCCATGTGTGTGTCCCACATGTGTAACTATATCCGTGTGCACCTTACTTGCCACAATTTTTTCTGCACTCATGACAGTCTCGAGGGCAATGGACGTCATGGATTCTTAAAGAACCCAAAAACTCATCATTTTTTAGTTGGGAAGATTGTACAGTAATTTCATGTTATTCTCTTTTTGTTGTACACTTTACTAAAATCTGAAGACCTTGTGAGGTTAATTTGCAACCTTCCAAAGATTTCCTCTACGGTCTTATCATCTTGACAAGCTCATATTGCCCAGATAACAGAATGGTCTTGGTATGTTTAACATTGTTTGTTCCCTCAAGAGCGTGAGCCAAGATATTTTACATTTCTTTGGCAGGTTTGCGTTGACTCCATTCTTCTTTGGGGGGAGAGAAATCCAAGAGAGTCTTGATAAACATTTTCATCCTATCTTTCTACAAAGGAAAAAATGCTGAGGAAAATATTTACGGTGACATCGAGTAAAAACTGGTCTTTGACTAATTATTATGATTTGTATACAATTGCATTAGATACCATATAAAGGACCCATTTATTTATATGGGTAAATCAAAGTATCTCCCAGCAGAAAATTAAAGATTAATCATTCGAAATATTGGGACCCATTTACAATATTAACTTCTAACAAATATCTGCCTGCTGTCAAAAAAATAAATAAATACATAAATATTTGTCCATACACACAGATTAGAGATTAAATCTGTAATTACATGCATGAGAGATAAATTATCTATCAACTATTATATCTCATATTAATCATTTATTTTAATAAGGGATAGAGCCTAATTAAAACTATGAAAACCAATATGAAATATTGAACAGCAATAGAGTTGTCATTCAAGAATAAACGTACCTGTGGTCATTCACCAGTCATGGTTTCTAAATTCTGACAAGTGTACAGAAAGTTGTGAAAATTGATGATATAATGCATTGATGATTTTGCTGGGCTTTTAATATCCTCACAATAATAGTTATTAAAGCTATCGTAACTTAAAATGTATTAATAGTCAGAAACAGGTGTTCAACTGATTTGTGTAACAAGAATAGTTAGTGACAAGAAAACTATAGTACGACTTGATACCTTAATAGGATTTTGAAGTGTACAATGATTTGGATGTAGTGTTTTATTTCTTTTAAAACACACCACCTAAAGTCAGCATTTAGGTGCACCTCATGTCACTCAAGCAATTCATAAATATGTAGGGAATTTGCTTTCTCTACTTATATTTAGGACATGTTTGAAAAAACTTTTTCAGAAATACTTAAAGAAGTTTTTTTAGAAATACTTATAATAAGAGAGAAAAATAAAAAGAAGAATTGAAATAAGTTTCTTCATTAGTTAAAATTAACTTATGTATGAGTTAAAAATAAGATTTTAAAGAAATTAATAGAAGAAAACTTCTACAAATTAGCTTATGTACAAGTTAATTTCAACTAATAAAGAAACTTATTTTATTTTACTTCTTATTTTTCTCTCCTTAAAATGTTTCTAGAGAAATTTACTCAAATAGACCTTTATTCTTTTTCTATTGTTTGTTCTCTGCCTTAATTTTTATTTCTGGGTCTGTTGTCACCAGCAGAATACACATGTAGAAGGTATAAACAACTAATCCAAGTAGCAAGAATTTTATTTATTCTTGTATCAAATATGCAACAACATGATGGAATTTGATGTTCTCCTGAACCCTGATACAAAATCTTTTACTCAGTTATGCAATCAAAGGGGACTCCTAATTAAATAAAAAAAACATACAAAATTTTGGTTACAGGAGGGGGCCTTGGCATGCTTCATCACCTCACACCTACAGTCATGCTTCTTCTCTTTCCATTTTCTCATGTTTGATTCATGCTCACAGTTTCAAGCTCGCTTTTTCCTTGCCAGTGCAGGTCTTTTGCCTGAAGTTGATTTGGATGAACAACATGTGAGCAAACCTCGCAGCATAGCCAGAACACCCAAACCCAGGAAAGAGGCATACACTGTCAATAGCTTTTCAGATGCCCTCTTGGAACCCATCATTTATGATAATATAGCAGCCTGCAAAAACAACCAAAATCTCATTGTTAAACCATCCATGGAAGGGATGAAGACACTACTATTACAGTAATACATTCAAACTTCCAACTTCAGTGAAACAAATGCCATTGTAAAAAGTCAAATCAGAGAGGTTACACTTTGGTAGTATAATTAACACCTTAGCAACATCTAATTGTCAGAGAAGCCGTGCAATACATCAAGACCATAGTTTCTGAGTAAATTTAAATCCAAGCATACAAAGTTGCATACAAGCAATTATTGCTTCCATTATATTTAGACAGCAAACAACATAATCAATTCAACATGATCTAACTGCTGCAAACGCCAACAGAACGCAGGAGAAACGACCCTTTTCCCCCCTAGCACAATGTATGATAAATAACAAATAAAATCTCCATAGAAAGAGCATGTTTGGGAATATGATTAATTCACACCATTTAAGCAACTTGTTAGGGAAAAAAAAAATGTTTGAAACAACTAAAATTTGTGAACAGTGTTTTTTCTTTTCTGAAAAGTAAACTGTTATCATGAATATGAAAATTTAAAACTAGTGATTATTTTTCAATAGCTGATTTTCTATATAAAAACTGATTTGTTGTTGTATCTAAATGAAATTAAATATTTCAAAATTGTTTCTCAGCATACTTTTCAAACAAATTTCATTCCAATTATTATTGATTATACATTTAATCAATTATTGAAAAAATATAATTTTCACGACTTTCCCATAGAAAATGAATGTCACGAGACAACAGTCCAATGGACGAGGATGAATCTAATAACAACAAACATAATCATGCAAACAAATGTAGTGATTCTAAATGAGTGGTTTCTAGTAACATAATAAAGTTTGACTTTTTCTTGATCCAAACATCAGACAAGAGAATATTACCCGTTTTCTCTCCTCCCCCACAAGCCTAATCATTCATACAACAACATGATCCACATAAACACGTGATCCTATCAATCAAAGGCAGAAACCTTGTACAAGCAAAAACAGAATTGAAAGTTGATTTAGATAGATAGATAGATACCATGGAGGTAGTGACAGAGACACCATAGATCAAGCAAGTGGTGTTGAACCAAGGCTTGGAAGTGAGAATGGCATAGAAGTTGAGAATTGCAAGGGGCCATTGGAAGAGAAGCTCGAGCCAAACAAGACCTACGAAGAAGTGGGGCTTCTCAGCGATAAGGTAATCATCGTAGTTGTGGGTGTAGTGCTCCTTGAGTTGGACGAGGATGTCGGGGAAGTAAGAGAGAGGGAGACATGTTTGAGCATCGATGAGAGGAGCCACCACAGTTATGAGGAGGAAGAAGAGAAAGAGAATGGCGTCTACTAGCTTCAACACAACACCCATTTGTTAATTCGTGGAATTGATGCTTCTGAGGGCACAGAACGAAGATTGGAGGAACCAAAGAGAGATGGGTTGTAGGAAAAGAGGGATCTTGGAGCCTGGAATTGGAAATTGGAAATACCCCAACACTTGGACTTTGAATGTTGTATTGTATTGTATTGTATGGATCCTAATTTTTTTTTCATTAAAAAATAAAATATGTATTTCCTTAAAATAGTGTAATGGGTTTTTAAGGTTTGAACTAAATGGCACATACATAGGCATATCGGCACATTTTTTTAATCCCTCTAAAATATAATTTTTTTCTACAAATAATTTTAAGTAAATAAATAATATTTATTTTAAGGATTTATAAAAAAAAATTAAAGATATTATACACTAATATGATATTATTAACAATTATTAGCAATATTTAGGCTTAATTACATTTTTGATCCATCAAATATTGTAATCGTACAATTTTAGTCTCTCTTATTAAAAATTTAATAAATTTTAATATATATATATACAATATTTTAAAGTTATACAATTATTTATCTATTCAAGTTAACTTATATTATAATTTTTGTTAATATATCAAATGATATATATTTATTATTATTAAATAAATAAAATTTATATATTATTATTTTTATAATATTACTGATAAATTAATATCAATAATATTATTAGTATACTTATAGGTAAACTAACAATTTGATAAATATAACTTATTATATATTAATATACTTTTAAAAATATAAGTATATTAATTACAAATATACATATTTTATCTAATATATTTAT